GTATCTATCAATACATTGGCTCAAGTATTATAGATAAGATATGTACCTTTCATCACTGATGGCCCAAAAGATTGCTCAAAAACAATGATAACATAAACTCGCCCTTGTAGCCTCTGCTCACTCCGATCACCCCTTGGAATATAGGTCGGTTGCACTAACTATGTAGATGTGCCCCCTTGCACCGCCCTAGATGCCTGCCCAAACTGAACCAGCTGATAATTCTGTCTCGACCCTAGCCTGCCTAATAACCTCCAAACTGTCGAGACCCTGAAGCACTCCCCATCTCGGCTAACTGTAGGCAAGACCTCTTCATATGCCCCGACTGCCCACAATGATAACATGTAAACGATTGGCCCCTCTCTGGGATTGGCTTTCAGAATAAGCGGATTGTTGATGGTTAAGATTCTGCTTACACTTCGATGCTTTGTGGCCCTGTTGGCCATACCTGAAACAAGTAATATGGATAGGACGCGTATTCCTCAAACTCTTCATAGAAATAGACCCCAAAGACTTGGTTTGTTGGACTAAGGACTAGAAGGAAGAAGAATAAGGGCCCCCGGACTTCTTAGAGGATTCCGAGTATATGATAACCCTATCACATATTATGCTTTTAATCATTTAATTATGAATGTACTTATGGGCTTAGTGTAAATCTGAATGCTAATTATGTGTTTAACATGATTTTTGGATTCATATATGTTATTTGTATGAATATCTGATGAGATTTCTATTATAATCTAAAATTGATGGCCTTAATGGCGTCAGAAACTAAAATTGACTAGTTTATTGAGAATAGAATAATTTTTAGAGCCTAATGAGAAGTTTGATTAAAAATTTGACTTAGATTAAACTAATTAGAATTAAGTGTAATTAGCTAATCTTAAGCCTTAATTAACACCCTAATCTAATCCTCATAAATATAGATGTTGTTATTAAGAGTTTGAACCCCCTTAATCATAATTTGAGCTCAAAATTATGAGAAGAAGAATTCTAGAGAGAGAGTGAAAGCAAGTTAGAGATAGAGGCAAAAAAACTTGGAATTTTACTTCAAGATTAGAGAATTGAAGAAGACAACTCAAGTTCTTGTTGGAATAATTATTCTTGAAGACCTTAGGTAAGTGTTTAACTCCTAATTTATGAATCTAAGCAATCAAATATGTGAATTCAAAGAGATTAATGTGATTAAATGTAAGAATTGAGATAGGATTGTTAAAATTGAAGTCAAATCACACATGCATGCATGATTTTGAAGAGTTCTATCATTTTTTAACGTAATTTTTCTATCTAAGCTTGAATTGAAGGTTATTTCATACATGCATATTTAATTTATAAAGTTTTAAAGTTGATTTCATGTTTTTGATGTCTTGGAAAAGAATTTGAAGTCTATTGATACATGCATGAGAATTTGAGGTTCATTTTGAAGAATTCCTGAAGTTTTGAGCTGAGGGTTTGAAATTGAGTACATGATTATGTTTTTGAAAGAGTTTCTAAGTGTTCTTTTAAGTTGTGAATGAGTCATGCAAATTCATGATTTGAAACTATGAGTTTTGAAGTTCAACTTTGTTCTGAAATTTTTTGAATTCGGCCTCATTGCTCGAGCAAACAATCTATCTCTCAAGCGCACATCTCATGCATCCAATAGTTTTGCAGAGTTTTGTTGTTAGGTCGAGGGACCAAGTTGATGCTCGAGCAAACTCAGTTCATTTTGCACCTTGGCTCGAGCGACTATCGAGCCTAGATTCGGACCATCTAGCACTTTTGCAGACCATGTGGTCCACTCGAGCAACCAATGTTGTGCTCGAGTGAAGTGTCCTAATTCAGCATATTTTAAAAAGCCATGTTTTACCCATTTTGGCATTCTCATCCCTTTCTAAACATTCTTAGGCATGAATTGAGCCTCCTAAATAAATCAATCAGTTAGAATAAGACTTAAAAGAATTGAATAAGTTAAAGAACGATCCAGTTAAGTAATGTGATTCAATAAGCATATGTTACGAATTGTGTAGGTTCATTCGCCAATATGTGTTGGCAACCAAACTACTATGAGTAATATCTTAGTAAATATATTTTCTTACTTACTCTATTTTTTGAATGTGTTAATGTAGTAAGTTTTCCAACTTCATGATATTGCAAATATGAATGAGTTCCTATCTATTTATTCAACATTACAATTGCAAATGTGATTAATGTGACATGAATGTGTATGATGGACCTAAGGTCGTTCTGTATATCTGAATTTGACCCAAGGTCATTCTGTATATTTGACAAGATGGACCCAAGGTCGTTTTGAATATCTGATAAGTCTGATTATCTATTATAAGTTGACTGAATGGTCATTATACAGCTGTAAATGATTGGACCCAAGGTTATTCCGTTAAGATATGATCAATTCTATTTTATACATCTATTATATGTTGGACCCGAGGTCATTCCTCTATTTGTTGGACCTGAGGTCGTTCTGTTATTTGTTGGACCCAAGGTCGTTCCGTTATGAATTGTTTATTATATGGAAATTCATATGTTACTTAATAGAACTCATTCATATAACCCTTTTACTTTGATATTATTCACCGAGCTTTCGCTCACTCCGTTATATATGTATATATGTAGGTGAGCAGTGGGATGTCCAGCCCTAGTGAATCTGTGAAAGAATATCGAGTTTTTGTGGAGTCAACCAAGGATGCCTCACACACGAGGCTTTTGTCTTTTGATTTTCTTTTGTTGGTCATGTTTGGTCGTGTTTGTATATAAGTTATGGTTCTTGTATGGCAATGATCTTGTGAATGGTCTTCGTTTCATAATATCTTTTGTATATGAATAGATGTGAGTTATTAACTAAATGAGATACCTTTGATATGCCATATATGCATAGCTCATTGGACAAAATTTATTAGTCTACTTCCGCTTCTGGGCCCCTTGTTATTAAATATGTTTGAATTCTGTCTAAGGTCGTAGGTAATCCTATGATTACTAGCCGGTCATGATCCCAACCTTTAGGGGTAGGTTCGGATCCTGACAGAGTGGTATCAGAGCACGAGTTAATAACTCACACACTTGTCCAAATGAGCAATAAGGTGTGTAGAAAAGACTAAAGGTGCATTCATCTGTTAAGTATCTATTTATGTGCATTGAGAACATGTGAATATATGGAATATGAACTATTGTGCCTATATGTATATATGCAATTCCTGTGTTTATTATATTGGAAGCTTGTGTAGTTAATGGTGAGAATAAGAGCTGATGAAATAGAAGAGTCGACTACCGCTCGACAGGATAGAATGGAAAGAATGATCCAATATATGTCTAAAGCATTAAGACAACAACAACAACAACAACCACCCCCACCTCCGCCAATGCATATGCCACATTTGGCACAAAAGCATCAAGCAGACGACCGTATAATCGCTTTGACCAAAGAATTTAAGATGATTAGGCTACTGTTGTTTTGGGGTGGAATAGACCCTCTGAAATTTTAAGCATGGGTCCTGGTGTAGAGAAATTATTTGAGTATTCCTGTGCATTGATGCCCAAAAGGTTCAGTTATCAGCATTTACTCCAGAGGGTAAGGCCCGTAGATGGTGGATGTTGGTGAAAGATGAAAATGAGGGGGTTAGTTGGGCAACATTTCTCAAAATCTTTTACGAGAAGTACTTTCCCCAATGCATTGGAGACCGGAAAGTATCTGAATTTGAAGGATTGAAGCTAGGGAACCAAACAGTAGCTGAATATGAGGCATGATTTACTGAGTTAGCAAGGTTTGCACCACACATGGTTGATATAGAAAGTTTGAGGGTGGACTTCATAATGCAATTTTAGAGAAAAAAAAATGTTTTGAAATTACCAAAGTACGTAGATGTTCTCGATAGGGATTTAATGATTGAGGTAAATTTGGCATCCTATAATCGACTATTTGAATGGATAGGAAAGAGACATGGTTCTTATTCGAATAAAGGATCATTGTCTTCGAAGAAGCAAAATCTGGGAACGTCTAGTGCCTCCAATTCGATAAGAGATTCTGCACCAACCTGTAGTGAGTGTAGCAAAAAACACCTGGGAGTTTGCTACCATACTTTTGGGGCATGTTTTTGATGTGGCTAGACAGGGCACATGGTTAGAGATTGTCCCCAAAGTGAGCAAAGAAGTGAAAGGCCAGTTGCTAATTCAACTGGGTTTGTTCCGATGCCAAGAAATAATGCTAGATCTACTACTACAGGAAATATACTCAGAGAAGGAAGAGTCTTTGCACTCGTCCAAGGTGATACACAGAATACCAAGGCCGTTGTCTTAAGTACTCTCTCTATTTGCAACCAAGATACTTATGTGCTAATTGATTCGAGTTCGACACATTCCTTTGTATCTATTATATTTACGTCTAGACTAAATAGACCCATGGAATCATTGCCTTATCTATTGTGTGTATCTGCTCCATTTGAGGAATATGTTTTATGTTCATATGTGTATCGTGCTTGTGAAATACATATTGGGAATGCTACATTATTTATAGATTTGTTGTTTCTTGATATTAGGTATTTTGATGTGATTTTAGGAGTGAACTGGTTGTCTAAATATTATGCTACCATTGACTGTATAACGAAACTGGTTTTGTTTAGACTACTGGGACATGGTGAATTTGTATTTGTGGGTAATGGTGTGATAGCTCCGCCTTAATTTCGGCTATGAAAGCATGCAAATTACTGGAGAATGGATATCAAGGTTATTTGTGTAGCATTATGACTACTCAATCCATGAATACTGTGTTAGATGATATTCCTATTGTTAGAGAATTTCCAGATGTGTTTCCAGAAGAATTGCCAGGGGAATTAGTTGACAGGGAAATTGAGTTTACTATTGAAATCCTGTTGGGTACTTAACCCATCATAAAGACTCTGTGTAGAATGTCAGCTGTAGAAATGAAAGAACTGAGAGAATAGTTACAAGATTTACTTGACAAGGGTTTTATCTGACCGAGCAATTTACCATAGGGTGCACCGGTTTTATCTATGAAGAAGAAAAATGGAACCTTACATTTGTGTATTGACTACCAGGAGTTGAATAAGGTAACGATCAAGAACAAATACCCTATATCCCATATTAATGACTTGTTTGACTAGTTGCAGGGTTCACAATTATTTTTGAAGATTGATTTGAGATACAAGTATCACCAATTGAAAATGAAAGCTGAAGATGTTGAGAAAACTGTATTCCAAACAAGGTATGGTCGCTAAAATTTTTTAGTTATGCTGTTTGCAGTGGCAAATGCACCCACAACTTTTGTGGATCTTATGAACCGAATCTTTAAATCCTATATTGATAAATTTGTTGTAGTATTTATTGATAATATCTTGATTTATTCGAGAAGTAGAGAAGAATATGAACAACATTTAAGAATTATTTTGCAAACATTTAGGGAGAATAAATTACATGCAAAATTGAAAAAGTGTTAATTCTGGTTGGATGAAGTTGTGTTTCTCGGTCATGTAATTAACAAAGATGGGATTTCAGTAGACCCGTAAATGATTAAGGTGATTGTGAATTGGCCTACACCGACAAGTGTGACGAAAGTCCTAAGCATCATGGGATTAGCTGGGTATTACAGGAGATTTGTGAAAGACTTTTTAAAGACAGTTGTACCACTTACCCAACTTACTCGAAAGGGACAACAGTTTGAATAAACTGATGAGAGAGAATTCACATTTTAAGAACTGTGGGGGCTGAATTTCATGAAGGTGATGAGACCCATTAGCGAATGGGACCGAATATAATTCGGCCCTATCCAGAAGCCCATGCAGCAATGTATACAACTCGGCCATGAGAGGAGTTGACTAGAAGCCAAACAATGGGCCTGATGTGGGCCCAACCATGGGCCCACAAGCAGTATAAAAGGAGGAGCCTCGATCAGGGACAATTATGTATGAAAAAATAGCAAAATAACTTATAGAAAAAGTAAACACAAAGACAAAAGGTACTAACTAGCTCGTCGGAGGGCTAATTCTTGCACCCTCGTCCGAAGCGTTTGTTCTTCTTTTAGGTATCATTTCAAGGATCAGAAAGGTTTGTCTGGATCAGAGAGCATTCCCAAACCCCTTTCACCACAATTAGCACCTTCTGTGGGAAGACTTAAGTGCATTCATGGAAGATATAGCAGATTATCCTTCGCTCGTTGCTAATGATGGTACACCAAGAGATGATGTTACACCAAGAACTATACTTGGTTCAGAGAATATCCGCGCACGAAGAGCCCTGAACTTCGACCCGGTGGCTCAAACCCCCCCTTCAACCTCGATGCAAGAAACCATGCAGACAATCATAGATCAAGCAAAACAAAACAAACAATACCTGGAAGATATGGCGGCTGACAATGAATGTTTACGTAAGGAGTTGGCACTCAAGTTAGCCAAATCCCAACAAATCGCACCATGTCACGACCAGGGTTAGTCGCCACAGAAGAAGAAGGATGGTTAATGACGTCAGTATCAAAAACATGATAGTAGCAGTGCTTTCGACACATTATCTTAGGAGCCCAGGAAGAAGGAGCAAGTTGACATGTCTAGCTCATCCGAGGGAAATCCATATGCTCGACACTGGCGAGGGAAATGAGACGATGGTTCGAATGAAGAGGATAAACACGATCTTTTCATACGACGCATTGCAAGGGCTACACTGCCTAAAAAATTTAAAACACCAACATTCACCCTGTATGATGGTAAATCTGACCCTACGGATCACATTTGTCATTACAAACAAGCGATGACATTGCATGCAGATGATGAAGCACTCATGTGCCGAATGTTTCCAAGCAGCCTAGGACCATTGGCCGTTAGATGGTATTATAAATTGGAGCCGGCCTCAATAAAAAGTTTTAATCAGCTCTAAAAATCCTTCAGGGCAAGATTCATTACCAACGAGGTCCAGCCTAAGCAAGCCGACTCTCTCTGGGTAATGCTAATTAAACTAGATGAGACCCTCCGTGAATATTCGGCGCACTACTGGAAGTGTTTTAACTTGGTAGACAACGCTTGCAATGACTCCATGGCCATCACCGCCTTTAAAATGGGATTACACCCCGACGGTCCTCTCAGAAGCTCATTGACCAGACGGCCTCCTAAAACAATTTGGGCGTTAATGAAGAAGGTTGTGGAGTATTGGAAGGTGGAAGACGATGCCCTTCGCGTTAAGGTTGAATAGAAAGTCATTAAGTCGGCACCATCTGGTCTAGTTCAGCCAATAAGCGTTGTATCACCAAGGAGCCCTGAACTGCGGGGCTGGGCAAAACGAGACAAACGGCGAGATGCGCGCAAGTCAAGCGAACAATGTTTGCGCTGTTCGAATAAACATTATCAGGTGGATAGCAGGCGCCCCAAACATTCGGACAAGAAATATACAGAGTTGGCAGAGTCGATCAGCAAGATCCTACCCAAAATCCAGCATCTGTCGTTCTTTAAGTGGTTGTCCAAGATGATTGGACCCCCTGATATAAGGCGAAAGGATAGGCGGTGTGAATACCACAAGGACTATAGCTACGAGACTGACAACTATTATGCAGTGAAGGACCATTTCGAGGAGTTAGTACAAGATGACCGATTGGCACTGCATGTTCGAAAGGGCAATCCACCAAACACGGTAGCTCTATGCCTGAAGTCATCTCCACTTGGTGTGATTCACATGATATATAGCCTATCACCGCCGACTTCGGTACACACGATCCAGCTACAACCTAGCCTATCCAAGCCGTTCACACTAGCCAAACAGCCTCATAAGACCGCCAAAATTAGCTTCAACTACACCGATCTTGAAGGTGTAACGCTCCCCCATGATGATGCCCTTGTCATCGAGTTACGCGTAAACAAATTCGTTATTGAACGTGTTCTGATTGATCAAGGGAGCACCACAGAAATAATGTATCACAAGACATTTCTTAAACTCGGCTTCACCAATTTGGACTTGTTACTGGTCGAATATCCCTTGTTCGGCTTCAATGCCAACCCCGAGTACCCTTTGGGCAAGATCACACTATCAATACGTACAGGTACCAAAGCAGTCGACGTGGAATTTTTGGTCGTCAAGCTTGCATTACCATACAATCTCATCATGGGAAGAACATTATTGCACACAATGCAGGCGGTACCAAGTACCTACCATCAATTACTTCGCTTTCCAACTCAACATGGCATTGAGCCGATTCGAGGTTCTCAAAAATCGGCAAAGGCATGCTATCTTATTGCTTTGGCAAAGAGGTCGAAAGAACTGGAAGTGAACTCGATTGAATTCTCAAATTGAGAAAGCCTCAAGGACGTTGGAAAAATTCCCAGTGATAAGGCAACTGGAGACCTCGATCGGATCGGAATCAATGGTGAACCTAACAAGTTCTTCATGATCGGCACATCCTTGGACAGAGTTGAACGACAAGAATTAGTCTCCTTCTTACTCAACAACATCGACGTATTTTCCTGGGCACTATATGAGATGTCGGGGGTGGATCCGAGCGTGGCCGAACACCGTTTAAACATCGACCCAAAAGTTAAACCAATTATATAGAAAAGTCAACGGTTGGCCGCGAAGCATATTTCAGCCGTTGTCGACGAAATCAACAGGCTAATGGAAGTCGGGGCAATCTGTGAAGTAACTTACCCCACATGGCTGTCCAATACCATGGTTGTAAAGAAGAAAAACGGATCCTAGTATTTTTGTGTGGACTTCACGAACTTAAACAGGGCCTGTCCCAAGGATTGTTTTCCTCTTTCCCGAATCAACCAACTCCTGGACGCAACTGCGTACCACCAACGCATGAGTTTCTTGGATGCTTACAGGGGTTACCACCAAATTGCCATGCATCCAGAGGACCAGGAAAAGACTGCGTTCCTCACCCCATGGGGAACGTATTGTTACAAGATCGCGTCGTTTGGACTGAAGAATGCGGGGGCAACTTATCAAAGACTGGTCACCACTACGTTTAAAGAACAGCTCGGCTGCACCATGGAAGTATACATGGATGATGTGGTGGTGAAATCCAAGGAAACGCATGCTTATCTAGCCGACTTAGCCACGACTTTTGGCATTCTCTGAAAGTACAAAATGAAACTCAATGCCTCGAAGTGTGATCGGATTCGGCAAGTTTCTCAGCTATATTGTGAATCATCACGGAATAGAGGCCAACCCGAGGCAAATCATGGCCATTATAGAACTCGGTTCGCCTTAGTCGGCCAAAGAAGTTCATAAGTTGATAGGAATGGCCGCCGCCCTCAATAGGTTTATCAGCCGTTCTCCGGATCACTGCTGACCATTTTTTAACATGTTTTGGCAGGGCAAAGCATTTCAGTGGACTCTCGAGTGCTAGGCCATGCTAGAGGGATTGAAAACATATCTCCGTTCAGTGCCACTCTTGGTAACCCCATCGCTAGGCGATCCACTCACCTTGTATCTAGCAGTATCTGATCGGGCGATCAGCGCCGTGCTATTAAAGGAGGAACTCGGAGAGCAGCGACCAATCTACTATGTAAGCAAGGCAATGGTCGACGTCGAGACACGATGCCTATCACTAGAAAAGCTTATCCTGGCTCTTGTGGTGGCTGCCAGAAAGCTGATGCATTACTTCCAGGCTCATACTATTGGGATACTAACGGACTATCCTCTCCAAGCAGCGCTCCATAGCGCGGAAGCATCGGGGCAAGTCTCTAAATGGGCATTAGAACTCGACCAGTATAACCTCCAAATTTTGCCCAAAACAACTATCAAGGGACAGCTGCTGGCCGACTTCGTAGCTAAGTTTACAGGATGCCATGCCGACTTCAAGTCTGATCAACTCGCCCCTTAACCTCAACCAGACTAGAGAATGTATGTTAGAGACATATGGCAGATGTATTGTGATGGATCATCTAACCAGCGTGGCAGCGAGGCAGGCGTAGTAATCATGACCCCTGAAGGGGCAATAATTGAGTAGGTAGTCAAACTGGGTTTCGATGCATCAAACAATGAGGCCAAATACAAAGCGTTGCTAACCGGCCTCCACAACGCGCTTCACACCTAGGTGCCAAATGATTACAGGTTTTCTACGACTCAAAACTAGTCATCAACTAGTTGAAAGAGAAATATGTGGCTAAGAACGACCGAATGGTAGCCTATATGAAAACAGAAAATGCTTTTCTCGTGAAGTTTGACCACAATGAGTTGAATCAAATAACCCAAGATCAGAACACACATGTGGATGCCCTTGCTTGTTTGGCTTCTTCCATTAACTCAGAGATCAAATGAACCATTGAAGTGGGATTCATCCTAAAGCCGAGTATCATTTCCCCTGAACCTGTTCAGGTCAACAGCATTGATTCAGGACCGAGCTGGATGGATCCCATAGCCGCATTTCTCTCCTTAGAACAGTTGCCAATAGACAAGAAAGAAGCTCCTAAGTTATGGAATAAAGCCCTTCTATATTACTAGGATGCCAAGGGAAAGCTTTACAAAAAATCTCTCTCAGGGCCATATTTGGAATGTATTCACCCAAACAGAGTCGATGAGTTCTTGACTGAAATATACAAAGGTAGTTACGATGCCCATTCTGGAGGGCACTCATTGGCCCACTAAGCCGTAATGCAGGGATATTATTGGCCAACCATGAGTACTGATGCCGATAACTACGTAAAGAAGTATAAGCAATGTCAGAAGTTCTTCCCATTAACTCGTTTGCCTACTGAAGACTTAAGTTCTGTTACTAGTCCATGGCCGTTTGCTCAATGGGGCCTTGACATCGTTGGACCACTACCGCAAGCTCCGAGAAACAAACAATTTTTGATCGTTGCAACAGACTATTTCACGAAATGGGTTAAAGGGGAATCGTTGGCACATATCCGAGATGTTGATGTTAAACGATTTGTGTGGAAAATTATTATAACCCGATTCGGCATACCTAGAGCACTTGTATCCGACAATAGCTCCCAATTCAATTATGGCGTCTATCGGGAACTATGTAACACATATGGTATCTGACCCTACTTTTCCTCACTAGCGTATCCACAAAGCAATGGACAAGCCGAGGCCTCTAATAAAGTGATCCTGGACGGAATAAAGAAGCGATTGGAGAAGGCCAAGGGCAAGTAGGTTGAAGAGCTACCCAGTGTATTGTTGTGGGCTCACCATACTGTAGACACCCCATTTTTGACCGACCTTAACACTCAGACATCATCAATTGAGCACTCGGTGATTGCACATGTTGTGCTTGTTTCGAGGTTTCGGAGTTCTTGGCTGAGAGCCTCGCCTCCGGACCTTGGGACCCTTTGTACTTTGACTCGATCCGCCGACCAAGTCTTGTTTTCTCTTTCTGGAGGGAGGGAGAGGTCTTGTAGACCATCTCTCAATGGTCGTAGGCTACTTTTTGTGGTCGTAGGCTACTGTTCCCATTTGGAGACTAGTTTCCAGTTTTTGGAGCCGTCGGTCGTTCGCCTCGGCTCGGGAGCGCTTAACATTCTCCGTTTGGCATGATTTTTGGAACACACCTCATTTCCTCTATCTGGAGGGACACTGTGGTCCGGGAAACCACTTTCGTGGTCGTACGCCACTTTTGATGCTCGGCAGCTGGTTTTCGGGGCTCCCGGCCGCGCCTCTTGCCTCCCGAACCCTCGTCTTGCATCCGTTTTGGTTTGTCTTGGGTACAAACCTTACTTTCCTTGTTTGAGAAGTGGTACAAGGGTGGGAGACCAGATTTTATCCTTGGAGACCACTTTTCTCCCCGCCAGTCGATTTTCTGGTCGGGAAACTAGTTTTCTTGGTCTTTGGGCCACATTTCTTGGTTTCCCACCCCACCATTGGTTTGCTTTCAATGTGGAGACCACCGATTCCCCCTACTGACCACTTTTTTTCCTGGGAGACCACTTTGGGTGGTCGGACGACCGCTAAAAGTAGTAGGCCGATCACCTTTTTTGGTCGGCAGCTTTCCTTCTGTTTTGTCAGACTGAATGGATGCCAGTTGTGCCAGCTGGAGGGCACAGACTGTATCCTCCATACACGTGTATGGAGGGATTTATCCAAGCTCTAAGATTCTCCAAGAAGCTTTAGCTTATGTTTTTCTATAAGAGAGAGGCTTCCTCTCCCTTCTCCAGGTTCTGATTTTGGCTGAGAGCATAGGCTTACACTCTCTCTATATCCCCCCCCCTCTCTCTCTCTATATATATATTGGTGCTTTGCTTCACACTTATACACACAACCTCATAGGCAAACACTCTTACCTTGTTGCTGAGTTGCTGGAGGGTCTTGAGGGAGCTCAAGAGTTGGTTTTGGCTCAGAAAACTTGCTGGTATTGCAGTGCTTCAAGGGTAACCTTCTTTCCCTCCCTTTTAGCTCTATTTTGATCACTCTCTTAGCCATATTTTCATGCTTCTCTTGGCTTAACTTTAAGCTACAAAAAGCTTTATTTTTGAGTACTTAACATGTTTGTTTGAGGCTCCTTGGGTGTTGGGGGTGTTCTACCCCATTTTGTGCCTTGTTTGGCCTTGTTTTGTGTCATGCCTTGAGGCCTTTGAATTAGTCTTTGCTTGGCCTTTTAACCACTAAAATCTAGTGGATTTTCAGTGGTAGGCATGTGGTTTTGAGGCCTCAAATCAGAGGGGGGTGATCCCCTCTCTTCTTGTTTTGTTGGCTTGCATTATTGGCCTATCAAAGGAGCATGTGTTTCTACCATTTTGAGGCTTAGTTTAGGCACTTTTTTGTGACTTCTAGGGCCTACCTTGACTCTGTCCATGGCTGGTTTGGTCCCATTTTGTATGCTTCTTGTATGTGTAGTGTAATCCCATTTGTGGCTCATTAAAGTAGCATGTCTTTCTAGCATGTATTGGCTCCATTTCAGTGGGTTTTTGGCCATCATTTGACATGTCATAACTCTATTTTGGGTTGGTTTGATGGCCCCATGCATGCTTCATACACTTGTAGTGCATTTCCATGAAATAGCCTAACATGCATCATGCTTCGACATGTCATTTTAGCATGCTTTTGGCTTAGCTCTGAGAAGACTTTGTTCATGTTTTAGCATGCTCAAGGTCTGATTTATGTTGTTTTGGTCATGTATGCCATGCTTTGTATAGCCATAGTGCATTTTAACTCGCTAGCCTTGAGTTTCCAAGCCACTAGCATGCCTTGCTTGGGCTATTTGCACGATTTAGCATCATTTGGAATGATATTTCAGAGCTTATATCTTTTCCATATTCTCGTGTTTATCACTCCTTCAATGTGTTTGAGAGTTGCACCTTTATGCCTTGTTCGTGAGCCATTGCATGAGCCTCATTTTCTTGCCTTTC